TTTAGTGCATGGATAATTCTTGGAGCCGATCTTAGAACAATCAGTGGGATTCTCAAGCTGTGACCAGTATTGTGCCTGCTTCTGTATCAAAGCCCAAATCTGTGTATTTCGGGTGTTGGATGGAGTATGGAAAGGATTAGAAGCTCTGTCAGTGTTCATTAATGTCTTTGGGCCCCATTGGGGAGATTCTCCATCACTTCCTGGCCTGGTGCCAACTATTACAACCTTACACAGAGGCTGTCACCATGGACAGGAAGTGAGGGGAAAAGTTCCTGATGGGGACAGAGTAATAAAACCTGATGGAGATTCCAAACCCTTCCCCAAACTAGACACTTTTTTACCTGGACTTGGGTTTTTAAATACAATTTTGCCCATGGAGACCGGTGTTTAGTGATCTAGAAATAGTTTTACAGGATTGAGCTTCTCCGTTGACTAAGATGCAGTGACATTGCTGTGACACGAGGCGCTTTGCTTGTAAGTTCCCTGCTTCCTAGTGAACTGTTCCTAGTGAACCGCTGACGGGTACACTTGGGGTTTTATTTGTAAACGATTCACAGATCCATTCACCCTGCGAATCTCTGTGAACATTCACAATGTGTGAATAGAGGCAAAAACAAACGCTCTTAGTATATTTTCTCTTTAAGCTAAATGTAATACCACATTATGGCCACTAGATGGACCTGAGGACCATAGGAAATACACATTTCCATGATGGCCACTAGATGGTGCTGAGGAGCAAAGGACATGAGTATTCATTTCCATTATGGCCACTAGATGGAGCTGAGGACCATAGGAAATAAATATGTCTTTCCTATGCTCAGCTCCATCTAGTGGCCATCATGGAAATTAATACTCATTTGCTTTGCTCCATCTAGTGGCCGTCATGGAAATTAACTCATTTGCTTTGCTCCTCAGTGCCATCTAGTGGCCATCATGGAAATTAATACTCATTTGCTTTTCTCAGCTCCATCTAGTGGCCATCATGGAAATTAATACTCATTTGCTTTGCTCCTCGGTGCCATCTAGTGGTCATCATGGAAATGAATACTCATTTCCTATGCTCCTCCGCTCCATCTAGTGGCCATTATGGAAATTAATACTAATTTGCTTTGCTCATCAGCACCATCTAGTGGCCATCATGGAAATTAATACTCATTTCCTATGCTCCTCAGCTCCATCTAGTGGCCATCATGGAAATGAATACTCATTTCCTATGCTCCTCCGCTCCATCTAGTGGCCATTATGGAAATTAATACTAATTTGCTTTGCTCCTCAGCACCATCTAGTGGCCATATTGGAAATTAATACTCATTTCCTATGCTCCATCTAGTGGCCATCATGGAAAGTAATACTCATTTGCTTTGCTCCTCGGTGCCATCTAGTGGTCATCATGGAAATTAATACTAATTTCCTATGCTCCATCTAGTGGCCAGAATGTTGTATTACAGATGACCAAAAAAGAAAATATATACTAAGAACATTAGTTTCTGCCTCTATTCTCACTGAATGAACATTCACAGAGAGTGGCAGGGCGAATGGCTCTGCGAATGGTTTACAAATACGCCCCTTGAGCTGTAGTAAATCATTTCATTTTATGAGCTGGACCTAACATGCTGAAGGAAAATATATATCAAAGTTAAATATCTGTCATATTAAATAAATTGCAAATTATATTTTATTTTCTACATGAATAAAGTCATATTTTGGTCAGTTATCCTCTATATAACTCTTGAGCGTACATTTATTTTGGTTTTGCTAAAGATTTATTATGGAAGTGAAATGATGCGTGTGGGTAATACATACAGGAAATCATTTGTTATTAAATCGGCCATTTGGCCTCATGTAAAGAGTTAAAGATCACAAATGTCATATGTTGCAGCCAACCAGTCCTTAGATTAGGTGGCTGCATTAGTTTTCATTTATTCTGGCTTTGTTCCCTTTTCACCTGCTGATCCTGCCGGTAACACACTTCCTGTCTTAGGGTGAAACATCACTCACTGTACTGTATACAGGAGCAGCGTTGTTGCTCTATGACTGGATGTGTGTTATGACTGCAGAAAACCTTCCCTTCACCTCCATATTGGGGGGGGGGTTCTAGTTTACCGCCAACTCCATATTGGGGGGGGGGGGTTCTAGTTCAGGGGTAACCTGGACAGGGCTTAAAGACAACACGGCAGAGTGCTCGGGGCAGCACTGGATTTCTGGCAGGATCAACAAGTATGTTTTGCACCTATACCATTACAAGTGGTTTGCTATGTTTGATATTTTCAGACCAAAGGTTCACTGTTCAGGTTTACATACACTTTAAACTTACAAACAAGGAGCAGTTTGCTTGAACTGCCCAACTCCAGCCACAACGCAGAGTTAAAGCCTCCGTCCTGCCACCTGTGTCCCTATA